CGGATCTCTGTGAGTTCGAGGCCAGCCTGGTCTACAGAGCAAGTTCCAGCACAGCCTCCAAAACAATACCCTGTCTCGAAAAACCAAAATAAATAAATAAGTAAATATAAAAAGAAAGGCCTGCACTTCCTACAAATTCACTCTAAGAAGGCATAAACTCAAACTTTTGTCTGTTTCAGGAGCTTAGCTAGCAACTTGCCACAATGAACAATAATGCCCCTCAAGAGGAAGTAACATAATTCAGAGCCTTTGCAGTGTTTCACTGCAACGTCTAATCAAGAAGAAAAACCAAAATGAAACAAACAAACAAAAAAAACCAGTAGACACAAGTAGAGGAGCTTAGAAGAAGAGAGTTTTTAAAAAGCAATTGGACTTTCCAAATGAATTCAAAGTCTATTAAACAGTAATTTCCCAGTAAATACTGTAATTTTTTTCCCAAAAGATTAAGCAAAGTAATTTCATCAAATTAAAAAATATTAAATGAAGCCGGGCGTTGGTAGCGCACGCCTTTAATCCAAGCAATCGGGAGGCAGATGCAGGCAGATCTATGTGAGTTCAAGACCATTCTGGTCTATAAGAGCTAGTTCCAAGACAGCCTCCTAAGCCACAGAGAAACCCTGTCTCGAACCACCCCCTCCAAAAAAATTCATTTACCAATAATTTCTTATCTAAATAAAATATGCTTCAGTAAAGCACAACATTTCCAACTAGAAACGTTGAGAAGTGGCAAAACTGAGAGTGAATAAATATGAAGCTTTTTTGTTTTATTGTTATTCTAGTAATTTCACTGAGATTAATGACTATTTTGAGCCAGAGCGATCATGTAAGATGATAGTGGCACCAAGTGCTGTTGTGTTGTAGAGTGTGCAGAGGGCAGTGGGGATGGAAAGCAGGGAGTGTGCTAGAAAATTGTGGCTCAACACCCACCGAGACACAAAGAGCTATTTATACACCAGGAAATAATGGAACCCTAGGAATAGCAAAGGAACACAGACTGGGGGACAAAAGAGAAGCAGCCCTGTGCAGAGCTCCTGGACCTGTAACAGTAATGTTTTTATATTGAATATGTCTGGACTACCAGGAAAGTATAAATATATAATGTCAAGGTTCTTATGCTACCTACAAAGTGCACTTTTGAATATAAAGACATAAAGTGGAACTAAAACTGTAGGGAAAAAAAGCAACAAGAAAATGAAATAATTATATCTTACTATTACACATGAGATTTGTGAAGAGCAAGGAAGCATTTTATGTGAGCAAGAGTCAGTTGGTGAAGAAAATACTAGCACCACGTATTTGCTAGTTGTACATTCAATAGACGAGCCTGCAGACTCAGACAGTGAAAGTCCTTCCGGCATGGCCCGGCATCCTCAGTGGTAAGGGTAACTTCTCCCGTGTTGCATGTACTTGTTTCACACGTCTGTGGGTTCTGGATTTCACTATACCTCATAAGTAACTGTCATATTATACTTTCCTCTAGTGACAAGTCTACTTTAATACATTGAACATTTAAATGTAAGAATGCAAGTTTGGTAGAATCAGGATAGCTATTAGCTACTATTTTAAAAATTATAAATTTTTACTATTTTAAAATTTGCATCCTTGTGTACCCTGATAGAGTATCCATTGGTTGTATTATTTGATGAACTAATTCAGTAAGAAGTAGAGTCACCCTACTTCTCTGCTTCAGCTATTTTGTTTGTTTTCTGCTTTGCCCCATGTTCTTAGATCCAAGTATATAAAAACGAGCTTCAGGGAATCAGCCACTATGGTTTTGCATCTTTGACTTTTGATGGCGCGTTAGGGTCTCCTGCTGTACGGCACACTTCAAGCAAAAGCTTTAACTTCACTGTTCTGGACCACCATATGGTAGAAGCCTTGCGGGCTTGGGCATGCACGCATGTTTCAGCTTCTTCCACCTTACTGCAGCTCTCTGACGCCCAACCCATGCAGTATTGTGACCTGACCTGCCAGCTCCTGGGCAAAGCACAAGTGGATGGAGCATCATTTCTTCTAAAGGTACATTTTAAATACTTGAAGCCATGTGCCAGTGCGCCTGTCAATAAGAAATCTGCAGAACTCTGGTAGAATATTTCCAAGCTATTTTATACTGAGTTAAAATTCCTGATACTGTACTCCCGCATTTCTCAGTGCTTCCCTTTCAGAGAAGACAGTATTGTCAGACGTGTATTTTACAAACCCTGTGACATGCTGCATTTATTTCTTATCTTAATAATAAGAAACACAGAGTTGTCTTTAGTGATGCACCTGTGTATTTCTGATGTGTTGTGAAAGTCAGCTATGTTGTCACCCATGTACTATTGGGGTCTGTTCTCATTAAATTCTGGCCCTTGTCATCACTGTCTAGCTTATGTGAGGGGCACAGATAGCACTAAGATGTCCCTTGTCATTCTTGCTTTTAAATCGACTGATTTAAAATCAGCAAAGAAATACAGACACATAAATGCCCATGGATGACCTGCAGACGGTGGTTACTTAATCATATTCCTTGTTTGGCCATATTGTACAGGGTTGTTTTGAGAAGTGACTGCTTTGACCAAGGCCCTGTCACTTGGAATAATCAGACAAGCATTGGAGTGTTGTGGTGCTCAGACAACCCTCGGGGCTTTACTGATAGTGCTGGCACATTTCAAAGAAACACTGCAATTGAAAGTGGCCTTATGTAAACAGTGCTGTGAGAAACTAAATACATCATCTAAGGAAAGTGGTGAAGGGGGAAGGCTACACTGAACTGAAAGCAGCATGTGATCATTTGTAGTTAGATAGTCACCCACGTTCCCTGACCAACATGGCATTTCCCAGCCACTGAACATTCCCAAGAACAGAGACGCTGGCTCTATGTACAGAGCACCTTTTCACTATTATACTGAGAAAAACAGTTACATTCTGAGCTGAAGCCTCCCACCCTGTAACTGATAGATGCAAAAATACAATTTCTCTTTAAAGCACCTGTGTGAATAGATAGCTTTTTTTTTTTTTTTTTTAGATAAGTCAACCAGATAAGTCTCGAGTAACTTATTTTTACCTTGGAGAAAGGGTTTATTATATTTTTAAACTTATTCTTTGAAAATTTCATGCCGGATACAATGAAATGTGATCACATTCCCCTCCCGCATCTCCCTCTAACTGTCCCTTGTCCCCACAAAACAACCCACTCCCAGTTTCATGTCCTTAACTCTTGTTTAATTAACGAGCCCACTAAATCCATTCAGTGATGTCCGTCTGTGCTCCAGTGATGTCCGTCTGTGCTCGAGGAGGCCGTTTTCTGGAGCGTGGTCCACCTCAGTGGCTGGGCTTCCTCTCACAGCAGCCAGCAGCTGCCAGTCGCTCCTCAGGGGTGAAGCCTGGGCAGCACCTCCCTCTTGAGGCTGCAGTGTTAATGGTCTGAACAAGATCAAGGAATTATTCTAAAATCAGCATTGAGACATGAATATAAGAAAGTTAAGCTTTCTTAAGGACAATATTAAAATATGTCTCAAGTCTTTGCATACCATCTAACAATTTTAATTTTTATAAATTTCCTTTATAGAAATAATTTTAGATGTGTGCAAAAGTACACTTGAAACAAAGCCTGTTGTGTGAACAATTTGTGTGTCATAGAATGTTCTCTGAATATATAGTAAAATTACATACATGGACTTCTTGAAATAGACTTTAATACTAATATACTTATTAATAGTCCTTCATTTGTATGGACTGAAAACATCCATACAATAGCAAAAATGCCTTTGGAGGTATATATGGTTACATTGTTCTCTTGACTACTTTTGGAGAATAGAGTTTTGATATTTTTTTTTCTGGTATTTAATTTCTCTGTATCAGAAATATTTTGTTTTTTGAGACATGGCCTCTGTACAGCTCTGACTGTCCTGGAACTCACCATATAAACCAGGCTGGCTTTGAACTCATAGAGATCTGCCTTCATCTGGGATTAAAGGTGTGCTGTACTGCTCTTGGCCTCAGATATACCCCACCCCTTGCCCAAGGGTAGATTACAGCTATATTTTTTTAAGCATTGTTTTTTAAATTTTAAAACAATCTTTTCTCATTTTACATACCAATTCCAGTTCTCACTCCTTCCCCTCCCCATACTCTCCCCACCTTCCCTCCACCCTATCCCATGCACCCCTTAGAGAGGGTAAGGCTTCCCATGGAGAGTCAACCCAAAGTCTGGCACATCTCTTTGAGGCAGGACCAAGGCGCTACCCCTATATCTAGGCTGAGCAAGGTATTCCTCCAAAGAGCATGGGCTCCAAAAAGCCAGTTCAAATACTAGAGATAAATCCTGGTCCCACTGCCAGTGGCCTCACAGACTGCCCAAGCTGTGACTCACAGCTGTGCCCAAACTGTCACTCACATTCCCCAGCTGTCAGTCTGCAGTCAGTGAGTTCCCACTAGCTCAGGTCAGCTGTCTCTGTGGGTATCCCCCAAATGGTCTTGACCCCTTTGCTCATATTATCGATCCTCCCTCTCTCCAACTAGATTCTGGGAGCTCGGCCCAGTGCTTTTTTTTTTTTTTTTTTTTTTTTTTTTTTTTTTTTTTGGGGGGGGGTTTTTTTTTTTTTTTTTTTTTTTTTTTTTTTTTTTTCTGGGGCAGAGCTTTTTATTTCACAGTCTATATAGCAGGTGGAGGGTGCCACAGCCTGATTGATGGCTACAAAGCCTCTGGTCACACCTGAGGAAATAGTGCATGTTGGCCCAGTGCTTTTTGCTATGGATCTCTGCATTTGCCTCTGTCAGTTGCTAGATGAAGGTTCTATGATGATAATTCAGGTAGTCAGACATAATTTCTTAATTAATTAAAAACAAAGGCAGGCAGACATTATTCTCCCTGAGTTATACTTGGCTAGTATGCAAAGTAATAGAATTATTTCCTCTTTCAGCCTTAGTACAATACTAACTGTGGCTCCCTTTTTAGTAATGGTGATGCATCCATTTCAGGGTTTCTCAGAATCCATGTGTTCTAGTGTGGTTTACATTGCTGTGATAAGCCGCTGGCCACAGCAACCTAGGGAAGGGAAGGTTTATCTGCCTTATACTTCCAGAGGAAGTCAGGGCAGGTACTTAGGAACTTGAAGCTTGCTATTCCAACCGAATTACCTTTACATTCCAAATGGAGAATTCATGCAAAAATCAGTAAGTATAGCAGGAATCATGAGGATGCTACTGCTTGTTCACTGAATTATAGACCTGCTTATGCTCAACTAGGTTTGTTACTTGGTTCAGGACCACCAGCCTAAGGATGATGCCACCCGAAGTGGACTGGGCCCTCTTGTAATCCATTAACAATCAAAACAGACTCCAGCACACAAGCCAGTCTGATCTTGGCAGAATAGTGAGGCTCTCCTCTCAGATGAATCTGGGCTGTATCAAGTTGCCAGTTAAAGTTAACCAGAACACTATGGTTTACCAGTGGTTTAAGAATATATTTTTTGTTTTTTATTACATGTATATGTGTCGGAATGTGCACATTTGTACAGGTGCCTGGAGAGGCCATAAGAGTGTGTCTGATCCCTTAAGCTTGGAGTTACAGGCAGTTGTAGGATGTTTGACATGTGTGGTGGAAACTAAACTCATGGCGTCGGCAAGATCGATATGCATTGTCAGCTCTCCTGCCCTCAGTAATCTTTAAAAACCTTTAAAAGTGATTTCACCTTTTTTTTCTGTTATTCTATTTGTGTAATGTAGGTGCTAAACAAATGCTTTTCAGTTGTAATTTATTAGTTCAAGCATACCCTGTACTCAGTTTGAAACAGGTGCAATCTCATGGTTTTAACAATTTTTTTGTAGTGTTATATATTTTTAAAGTTAAGTTTAATAAACTGGGATTTATTCTATCCATGTTGGTGTGACCATTATCATTGATGCTGAATAATATTGTGTTATTAATAATTTCGAGCATTCACTTTATATTTGTAGGCAGGGGACAAATATTTTTAAAATGTTTAATTTTTATGATACTTATTTTTCATTAAATTAAGCTGAGATAAGTTGCAAGGCTATGTATGAACTGACCACAAGTTTTACATAAGCTATTTCATTAATTGATTTATAGTCAGGAAAAGAATTTCTCATCCTTTTACAGGGTCTAGCCTGTTAAGTATGGTCCTCATCGCACATCAAGAGAGCTTCTCTATGTAATGTGTGGAAACCATTGCAGGAAAATGTAACCAATCACAATGTGGAATTATGGAGTTTAGTCCCAACTGATACATCTGCAATACAGTTCCCTCACCTAAGTCTTAGGAACGCCGCTGTACAGGGGATTGGAAGAGGCAGAGGATCAGGGTTTTGCAGTATGACTGAGAATTCTAGAGATGCCAGAAGTGACAGCAATAAAGTCTCACCAACAGGACTACCTAGTCAACTTGTGACTGAACATGAGCTGAACAAGGGCAACAGGAGACATTTGAACTTGGGGATTCCTTCTTGTATTTTCTTTTCTTTTCTTTTCTTTTCTTTCTTTCTTTCTTTCTTTCTTTCTTTCTTTCTGTTTTATAAATGATCAGGTTTATTTTACATCATCCTGGGCCAGGCCTAGGCCCTCCCCCATGTGTCCAGGCTGGGAGAGCATCACTTCACGTGGGATGGTCTCTTAAAGTCCCTTCTTGCACCAGGGAAAAATACTGATCCATTAACCAGGGGTCCCCTAGAGTGCGAAGGCATCCATATTCAGGGGGCTGGAGAGATGGTTCGGCCATTAAAGGCTAGTCTCACAACCAAAAATATAAGGGTTTTAACAATTTTATCTCATCCCATATCTTTGTTTTTGGTAGTAACTCAGAGTTGAGGGTGTGAGTGTGAGCTGGGCTTGTTTGAGCATAGAAAAAAAAGTCAGACTATAGTAGGTTAATGATTTCTGTGGTATCATATGGTGATTGTTTTTCTTCACATCTTTCTACATGTTTTATATGACCAACAGTTCATGTTCAGTCATATCACAATAACAGAATGATGGACATCACGTTTTAAAGTATTAAGGATACCTGGGTAGATCTGTTCATTTTTAAACTTGACTCTGTTTTTACATAAAGATTCTTAAGCTTTGCTTTCCTCCCAATGGCAGGTATGGGATGGCACCATGACGAAGTTTCCCTCTTGGAGAGTCTGCATACAAGACCTTGCTTTTGAAGGTGACTTAGGTCACATTCTGCGGCTACAGAATCTGGTGGTAGACATTGTAGTTTATGATAATCATGTCCAAACGGCAAAATCCCTGAAGGTGATGTGAACCAGAAAGATGCATGCTATTTTGTTTCTGTGTTCTTTTAGGTTGTCATTAGTTGTACTTTTTGTTCATATAATTTTGTTTGCAGGTTTATTTGATATTTCGAGTCTAGAAGTTAATTTCAAATTTACTAAACATATGCATGTCTGAGTTAAAAGCAAGCTGTGAACCCATCTTAATGGCTACATAAATTCTTTTCATTGTAATTTTATTTGAGAATACAATTCTATCACATCATTTACCTTCTTCTTTCCCCCAAACCCTCCTCTGTATCCCTTACCCCTTGCTCCCTCCAAATTCTTGGTCTCTTTTCCTTTGTGGTTGATGAGTGTGTGATTGTGTGTGATTCACAAATATATAAATACTGTCTGTTTGACCTGTATAATATTGCTTGCATGTATGTTTTCATGCTGCCCATTTGTTTTTGGATAACCAGTTGGTGTGTTCCCGGAGACTATTTTCTCCCACTCTCAGCTCTCCTTAGTTGCCTGTAGTTCTTTATCTAGGGTTGAAGCATCGTAGACTCTCTCTCTTCCACATTTGCGTGTCTGTTGGTGTCATCCTTGTTCAGATCATGTTTAGGCAGCCTTGGAGGTGAGACTTCATGGGTTTAGTTTCTCTTACATTTCTAGGAGATAAATTGTCACCATAAACTTCCAGTACCTATGGCTCTTATAATATTTATTCCCTGCCTTGTGAAATGACCCTGAACTTTAGGTACAAGACTTGTGCTGTAGGTGTGTATTTATCAGGACTAGAGTCTACAGTTCTGCATTTTGGTTGTGGTTTTCTGTAATGACCTTTGTCCATACTAAGGAAGTTTCCTTGAGTGGTGATAACTACACATACTTGTGGGTATAAGGACAGATCTGGGTTTTTTTTTGTTGTTGTTGTTTTTTACATTTAAATCAATTTACTGATTTAAAGATAAGATATAAATAGCACAATGGATTAATTCAACTCACTAATTCCTGGAGGAAAGCTCATAGGCCAGGTATGTTAGCTCATCCCTGGAATTTCACAGCACGGGAGCAGAAAGAAGATAGCCAGAATGTAGAGGCCAGCCTGAACTACATGAAGAAATGCTCTCTCACAATACCTGCAAATTTTTTACATATAGTATACACATAAACAGTTAACTATGAAAGGAAACACAAACAACAAAAATATGGTCACTGAAATATTAATACTCTTGTGTCCAAATTCTTAGGCATAAATTATAAAAGCCGACTTGTGAGAAATAAAGCAAGCAATTCCCAGAACATTAAAGGCCAGCCTGCGCTACATAGAATTAGAACTTTGTCTCAGCAAAGAAAACCAAAGTACATTTGGTAGCAAGTGCCTGTGATCCATATATTGAGGTGGTTGAGGACGGTAGTGTCAGAAACGGCAGGAACAAGAGTTGTTAAAAGAAGTCAGGTAGTGAGAAGTGCTCAGAGAAGTCAGGTTGGGACACGTTGCCTAGAGAGGCATCTAATTCACAGAATTGTTAAATAAAGAGCTTCTCCTCATGGCAGAGGAGCCTCGATCATTGTCTTTGGCTAGAATGGTGTTAGCTAATTGAGTCTCCCAATCTCTTCCAGCAGATAAGGACAGATCTTTAGAGTATAGTTAGGATTATGCTGTTTTACTAAAGTAGCAGTTGTAGGTTCTCCTCCAAAATCTGTGACTTCACTAGCCCTGGGCAGTTGGCTTGGTGTCCAGTACCAGGCCTGGTTCCCCTTTTGTTAAGCCGGCATTGAATCCAACTAGAAAACTGTTGGCTCCCACTAAGCTATGCTTGCTACTGCTGCATACTTAGGGTTATTGTGTGTGCTGGTCATTGTTATAATTCAGAGACATCATAGCTGGGTAGGACTGTTGGTTGGTTCTCTCCTTTGGAAACTCACATGGTACCTTCTGGTACCATGACAGCTTGTCTTCAGGGAGGGGGCCTTCAGGTCAGTTCCATCCAGGTTCTCTGTGAAATTCTTTTTAAACTAATCCATTTAAAACTTTTAAACCTTTTGCCTATAGGCTAAGATCATATTTTTTAAATACACACTCTTGATACAACCTTACAACAGTGTAAAACATACATAGTTACTACATCTTGGTCTTTCCGGTTTTTTTTTTCCTCTTTTTAAATTTAAATTAGAAACAGTCTTGGTTAAAATGTCAATCCCAGTTCCCTCTCCTTTCCATCCTCCCCTGCCCCCAACAGATAACCTCCAGTCCCTTTCTGCTCCCCAGGAAGGGTTAGGCCTTCCATGGGGGATCTTCAAAGTCTGTCACATCATTTGGAGCAGGGGCATCTTGGCCTTTCTTTAGTGGACCAATAACTGTAGTTTGGCTACAGGAGAAATTAAAAATATTGTTCAGTTTTGTTGTTGTTATTATTTTTTTTTTTTGGTGGGAACATTCTTATTTTTAATAGTTCTGTTTTGGTTAGACTATTATAACAGACTAAACTACACTTTTGTGGTTTTTTTTTCTTTTTCTTTTTCTTTTTGGTTTTTCAAGACAGGGTTTGTCTGTATTGCTTTGGAGGCTGTCCTGGAACTCACTCTGTAGACCAGGCTGGCCTCAAACTCACAGAGATCTGCCTGTCTCTGCCTCCCGAGTGCTGGGATTAAAGGCGTATACCACCACCACCCTGCCACTTTTGTGTTTTTATTGTCATTTCTCTGCTTGTAAAATAATGCTTACTGCATTATTGACCAGATTAAACAACTAATAAGCATCAAGTAGATTTCATAATGACATTTACTCAAGCTTTTAATGAGATACAACATTGTCTCCAGAAAGCATTTCAGATAATAGCAACTTGTCATCTTTACTCTGTGATCTGTTCAGAAAGATAAGGTCGGTTTACAGAATATATTTTTGCAAGACTATCATAAAAGGCAAGTGCTGTATTTAAAATTTTGATTTCCATAGAATTTGTAGGATGGGGAAAAACACATGGTGGCACATACATATAATCCCAGCAATCACAAGACTAAGGAACAAGCATTGTTGTGGCTATCAAGAAAATTAACCTGTGGAAAAAAATAAAGGTCAATTTTATGTAGTTACGTGATTAAAGTTTTCTAGTATCTCATGGTGAAAGGATTTTATTCCTCTTATTTAATCTCATTTTAAATTTATTCAAGCAGATTCTTTTCAGAAAGAACTATCAAAAAGAATTTTATTTAGGCCTTGGATTCCTTCAATATATTTTATTGATGGACCTCTAAGAAAGGGCCTGCTTGTGTTGTGTAATGAGCACATTGATGTGTACACAAACTTGCCCCTACACACGATATGACATGGAACCCATGAAGCTGATGGCAGAGCACAGTGCTGCCCTACTGCCACTATCCTCTAGTTAGCTGTTTTCCTTGGTTGTTGAAGTTACTAGCCCCTGTTGATTACGAAAGTTTCCAATATGAGAAATGGTTTTCATTAGGCCTTTTCTGAAATGGTCTTCTTCTGTTTTCTTAGATTGGAAGCTTCCTTAGAATCTACAGCCTCCATACCAAACTTCAGCCCATTAATTCAGAGTCCATGACTTCACTGGTAAGGCTAGAGTTTCATCTTCACGGAGGGACCAGCTATGGTCGGGGGATCACGGTCTTACCGGAAAGTAACTCTGACGTAGATCAGCTGAAAAGGTGAGTATTTTATATCCATGCTATGAAAATACAAATGTGGTCATTATTAGGTTAATTTACAAGGTAGCATCGTTCCTGGTTTGTGTGAGGCCTTTGCCTTATCCCTGTTTCTCCTCTTTTCCTTGCAGAGAATTAACTCAGACTCTAGCTCTGACTATGCAGACTGGGCCACTGATATTCCTTCTTAGAACCGTCTCCACAATGTTTATTTTTTAATATGTAGCCAGCTGAAAAGAGACTCTTAGTCCAAGTAGTGAGATGTAGTAAAGCCAGTAATATAATGTAAGTTTTTCAACAGTTGTATTTTTTCCAATCATGTTCATTTAACATTTCCCATAACGAGTATAGCAAGCAGCAAACAGTGTTAAACAGGTTTCTTTCAGTATACAAAACTTGCTTGATTACAAATCAGGAACTGAAGTACTTGCCTAATCATACTGTGAAAATAATGAATCTTCTAAAGTGCATCACAAAGCATGGTAGTGCCTCACATTTTAAAAAAAATTTTAAAGGTTATGTTTTGTTTTTTAAAAATAGCATCTAAAACCCTGTTTTGAGTTCAGTTCTCCCATGTTTCCAGGGGGTACCATGTACAGAGAAACACTTTCACATTCTAGAGGGAGAATCCATTCATCTTTAGAGAAAAAGCATACCATTCCATGAACTGATGTAAAATTTCTGTTGTACCAGTTTTATTTCAATTGCTTTTAACATTAATTTTCTATTTTGTTAGTTCCATATTATTGTAACTCTAGTATTAATTAGTATATCATTTCACTTTTCCAATACTTTTCTTAATTAAATGTTTTTCATATAATATATTTTAATTATATCCTATCCCACTCCCTATCTCCTCCCAGATCCTTCCCTTCTCTTTCTCAAAATAAAAAAAACCAAACAATGAAACAAATAGGAAAACAAATCAAAAGACACATACACACAAGAGGAAAATCAACAGAGACAGAAAATAAAGCAAAGAATGCACCCAAAAAACAAAACAAAAACAAAAACCCTTGGAGTTCCTTTTGCATTGGGCAAATACATTGGGCATGAGTCCTGCCCTCAGTGACATCACAGAGAACTGATTTTCCCTTTGCCAGGAGGAATCATTTGTAAATAGCTTCTTGGTTCAGGCTGGGACTTTGTGTCCATTTTGCCCACTCAGTGCTGAGATTTTTGTCTAATTTGAGCATGTATGGGTCTTATGAATGCTGTCATTGTCTCTATGAGGGTCATGTGTGCCTTAGCCCTGTTGTTTCTAGAAGGTGCTATCTCCTTAGAGTCATCTACCACTTCTGGCTCTTAGTTTTTCTGCCTCTTCTTTAGCATAGATTTCTGAGCCTTGAGGGCAGGGCTTTGATGTAGATCTGAGTGCTTCAAAGTCTCTCAGCTCTGTGCACATTGTCCAGTTGTGATCTCTTCATTAAGTACTATCTACTGCAAGAAGAAGCTTCCTGATGAGGCTGAGTGATGCTCCACTCCATGGGTATACCCATGTGTTATTAGGAATCATTTTATTGCTACATTCCCGTAGCAGAATAATCATAATTTTTTTACTACAGGACCCATGACCTATCGTTGGTTCTTGTACACTTTAGCAGTGTAATGTATGGGTACAATCTCAGAGAGTTGGTCTTAAATCCAATTTTTAAAAGTGGTGAGTTACTTCTATAACATTTGTGCCAGTGTTGTCCTGATCTATATTGTAGGTATCTGCTGCAGGCAGCATGATTTGTAGCTGAGTGAGATGGATGTTCCCCTGAACTTGATTATTTTTTTCCCCGTCTATTTTTCTTTTAGGTATTATGTTGTCTTGCTTTTCTAGAGCTTTTAAGGGTATCCTTAAATTATTAATATGAAATTTCTCCAGTGTTTTGATGTAGGCTCTAAATTTGCTTCTTATAACCACTTTCATGGTGTTCCATAAGTTTAGGTATGTTATATTTTCATTCACCTTTATAAAGTTTTTAATTTCCTTCTTGACCCAATTATTCTTTTTTTTTCTATATTTTTTTATTTAGGAACAAGCTTGTTTTACATGTCAATCCCAGTGCCCTCTCCCTCCCCTCCTCCCCTGCCCCCCACTAGCCTCCTATCCCATCCCCTTTCTGTTTCCCAGGGAGGGTGAGGCCTTCCATAGGAGACAGTCAAAGTATGTGACCCAATTATTCTTTCAGTAGTGGTTTGTTCAACTTCCATGAATTCATAAGGTTTCTGTTGTTGATATTCAGATTTAATCCATAGAGGTCAAATGGGATACAGGGTATAATTTCAGTTTTCTTGTATCTGTTGAGACTTGGTTTTTTTTTGTTGTTGTTGTTGTTGTTTTTGTTTTTTTTTTTTTCTTTTGCTGTTGTTGTCCTAATATGTAGTCACTTTTGGAGAAAATTCCAAAACTGCTGAGGAGAAAGTATATCCCTTAGTATTAGGGTGGAATGAATGTTCTGTCATTGCTGTTAGGTCCATTTAGCTTATGAGTTATCTAACTCCAGTATTTCTCTGTTTTTATCTGGATGACTTGTCTATTGTCAGAAGTGAGTGACTGAGGTCAGCCACTGTGTGAGGGTTGGTATGTTGTTTTAGCTGTAGTAATGTTTCTTTTATGAACTTGGGCCCTTATGTTTGGTGCATAAATATATAAAATTGCAATATCCTCTTGGGTTTTTCCTTTGAGTATGGTAGTGCCTTCCTATTTTTTCTACTTAGTTTTGGTTTAAATTCAGTTTTGTCAGATATTAAAATAGCTACATCTTGCCGGGCGTTGGTGGCGCATGCCTTTAATCCTAGCACTGGGAGGCAAAGGCAGGCAGATCTCTGTGAGTTCCAGGCCAGCCTGGTCTCCAAAGTGAGTGCCAGGATAGGCTCTAAAGCTACACAGAGAAACCCTGTCTCAAAAAAAAAAAAAAAAAAAAAAAAAAACCTTTTTCCATTCTTTTGCCTGAAGGTGTGTTTCTTGAATGCAGCAAAATGTTGGCTCCTGTTTTCTAATCCAGGGGGTTAGTATGGAGGAATTGAGGCCATTAATATGAAGAGTTACTAATAAGTAGTATTTATTAATTCTTGATATTTTGTTGTGGTGGTGTGGTTTAGACTAACCTGTGGGGTTATTTATTCCTTGTATCCTCTTGGGTGTAATTAACCTTCTCTTCAGCCTGGAAATTTGCTTCTAGTCCTTTCTGTAGAGCTGGATTGGTGCACAGAACTTGCTTGAATGTGTTTTTATAGTGAAATGCTTTTCTTTCACCATCTATTGTGATTGATAGTTTCATTGGTACATTTGCCTGAGCTGGCATCCATGGTTTCAGCCCAGGCCCTTCTGCTTTTACAGTCTCCACTGAAAAGTCAGTTGGTATTCTAATGGTTTGTCTTTATATGATATTTGGTCTTATTCCCTCCCAGCCTTTAATATCCTTCCTTTCTTCTATTCCTTTAGTGTTTTGATTTCGTATATCATGGGGAGTTTATTTTATGGTCCTTTCTATTTGGTGTTCTTTATACTTCTTGTACTTTGATAGACATCTCTGTAGATTGGGGAAATTCTCTGATATTATTTACTTGAAAATATTTTCTGTACCTTTGACCCAGTTTCATCCTTCTTCATTTATTCCTATTACACATGGAAAAGATCTTTTCATAATGTCTAGTTTACTGAATATTTTGTGCCTGAATTTTTTTTTGACTCATCTGTCAGTTTCTTCCACCTCATCTTCAACGACCCAAAGTTCTCTCTTCCATGTCTTGTACTCCGTTGATGAAGCTTACTTGGGAGATTTTTGTTTGACATCCTTAGTTTCTCATTTTCAGTTTTATTTGGATTTTCTTTAATAATTCTCTTTTTAATTCTACTTTCATGTCTTGAATTGTTTTCATTATTTCAGCTGTCGAATTTTCAAATTCTTCATTAAGGCATTTATTCCTATCACCTACAGGTCTTTAAACACATTCATAATTGCTATTTTTAATTCCTTGTTTTATACTTTGACTAAATTGCTTTTCTCAGGGCATATTACAGTAGAGTTGTTACCTCTGAAGAAGGCATATGGTCTTGGGTGTTTATGTTTGTGTGTCTGTGCTGTGATTAGGCATCAGGAGTTAAGATGTTTGAGGTATTTTTTTGGTGTAGATATCTGGCTGTGTATGTTGGGTAGGTGTTCTCTTCTTTGGTTTCTTTGGTGCAGTCTGTATCCTAGCCAAGTATGGCAGCTGTAGGATCCCTGAGTCCCAGTGACATGTGATGACTGCTGTATCCCTTGTAGAAAGAAAGCTGTCGTGTTTGGCAAGGAATCATAAAGGAATGAAGAAGGGAAGGTTGAGGGGGCGGCATTGGAATTAGTGGGCTCCTGGGACTGCACCGAGACCCTGAGTCCCAAGGGGGATGTGAACAGGGATGTGGTGGTCAGGCTGCAGTGGACTAAAGGTAAGTGGGAAGACTAAAATGAGAGGACAGAAAGGAGAATGTGGGTCCCTCAGAGAGAGGGTTTTCCTCTGGTCAGTGGAGTCAAAAAGGAATGAAGATGGATAGGCTAGAAGGGATGCTAAAAGGGGGTTGGGAGGCTAAAGAGGGCTGCCAGGTAGAACTATGCAGGAAAATGGGGGCTTTGTCCACACCAAGAGGCGGTGTCCCTAGTTGATGGTGCTTACTTTTCCAAACTTGAGTGACATTATCTAAACTGCCAATGTTAGCCATTAAATTCCCAGGCAGTTTGTTTGATTGTTTTTGTAGTATTCTACTGACACTTCATATCTTTTTTTTTTTTTTTTTTACCTTTGCTCTAAATTTTGAGGGTATTGGAGTTCTCAGACAAGCTGGAATCTGCCAAATTTTGTAATTTAATGAACTCCTGGGTTTAGTGAGTAGATTACTGTAGTGACTTTCTTATGCAACTTGACTTCATATCTTTGCATTTCAGGGCTTTAGAGTCTGTAGATTTGACAACCATTCAGCCTTCAAATGATACCTGTCAATCAGAAAATGAGGACCACTGTTTAACACCTTCAAGTAAGGACAGTTTATAACACTGACATTTTACTTCTTTGAATTTCATGAGTACAGTTATCTTCCCTGTGTGTCTTTTTTAAATTCATATGTCTATACAGGTCGTATGCATGTATTCACATTAAAATAACACTTTCAATATTTGTCTTTACCATATCCAAAACTAAGCCTGCTTTACTTTTCAGTATGTAATCATGTTTTCAAATTAGACTAACAGTGATTACTTACTTTCCTATGTGTATAGTGTTTTGTATTCATTGAAAAGGAAACAACAACAACAACAAAAAAAAAAAAAAAAAAAAAACACGGTTTGGATTTCTTAGGCAACTAATTTGCTTACCAGTTTCCAAAAGGAACAGAAGGTTCCCTTATTTTTATCTTAACCAGTCCATAGTTATTGATCATAGGCCTCTTGGATTTTGATGCATAGACTCGAGTTTTCCAGATTTTGCAAAGGTGTCTTTCTGTAGAAGTGAATGGTAGTGCGTGTGCTTTTGTGCTGTGTTTTGAGATTCATGTGTGATGGAGCATGTGTGTCAGTAGCTCATTACTTGATGTGGAGTGGGAGGAGTGATGGAAGAACTTCTAGTTAGAGCATTGTGTTTCATTTTCATGTTTAGATGGCTTCAGTGTCTACCAAACCATCAAGTGGATCTAAATACAAGTTTATTATGGGGCTTTCCATGTGCCACTTATGAGTGTATTGTGAAGTATGTGCTCTCCCTTACTAATAATTCTTAGTGGTTGCAAAGTCATTTCTTGTTTTAAAAAAATACTGTATTCTTTGTGAATTGCCTTCCTTTCTTTGTCAGCAGTCAAAGTGTGGGTTGATGTCTAAGCTCTGTCTAAGCTCTCTTTGATCTGTTGGTTTGTCAGTGTTGATATCAATGCTGTAGTTTCTTGATTACTGTCTTGAACTCATGTAGTATAAATACACTAATGTTCTTCTCTCTCACTATCTTCCATTGTCTAAATTTCCCTTGAAGAAAGGAGAGACATTGACTATCAATTCTTTGTTACTTTTTTTAAGAATTACGTTGAATCTGCAAATAAATTAGGGGGAAAAGATATTGCAACATTTATTTAGACTTTCTTTAGTTTATCTGGTATTGTTATATAGTTTTAGTTTTACATTAAGTTTCTAACAGACATTTTATAGAGCTACATATTTTGTGGTTTCCCTTTCTCTTCCTGTAGGCTCCAAATCAGATTTGGTCTCACTGTACGAGGTAGAAAGATGTCAGCAACTCTGTGCTACAAGTAAGCCCACTTCTTGTACAGTAACCAATGCACATATACCTGCTTTGTAAGCTCACTTCTGGTAGAGTAGACAACTCACAGATACTTGCTTTGCATTTGCCAGCCAATCCCTTTGAACCTACCAATGATGGTACATCCTTATGGGAACGCTCAATGCTTTTATTTAGCTTTTATTTCCTACAGTGGTATAAGATAGAATGCATACATGTGCATATTTCTGATTTGAATATATACATTTCATACATATACATATATGAAGTTATAAATAATTAAGATTTAGTAAGTTTGTAGTATTCAGTATGTTATTAGCTTAATGAAATAAATTCTGTATTACATTAATTTCAATAAAATTCTGTAATGTGTTTGACACTGTACATGTAAGAAATTCTTTACCCTGTGCCTGAATACAGTGTTAGTACATTTTATCAGATACATCTCTGCTGTTTCAACTAAGTTGATAAAAAGCTTTTATCCAGAAGAAAATACTTGTGTGTTAAATGTGTACTGCTGTACAGTAGGAGTTTGTCCTGTTGGAGAAAGGAGGTGTAAGTATGGAATGGGAGCTGGAAGTGAGGGTCCCTTGCATTCAGGCTTTAGATGTTATGCAGAAATTGTTGCAGGTGCACTGTGCAGAGGCAGTGACATCCAGGAGCAGTAGGCATATGCAGTGCACAGAAAATATACTTAAGAAAATATTCCATGGATCTCTGTGAGTTCAAGACCAGCCTGGTCTACATAGTGAGTTCCAGGATACAGGGCTGCTACACAGAGAATGTGTGTCTTGAAAAACAAAAAATATTCCAGGTACCTCTGGAGATAAAACAGATTCCCGAAGCGGAACAAGGGAATTAGAGATAAATAAAGAATAACATGAGTTGCTAGAAAATAAAGACATTCTCAGTTAATAGTAAATAGCCAGTCTGGGACAATGTGCTCATCAAAATGTTAGTGATGGGTTCGAATCCATGGAGTGAAGCCAGGGTGTATGAACTCAGCTTGTTAATGAGGAAATAGGAAACTGGGGTTGCATAGAAAACTCTATGGGCCAGAATGACTAACAAATGTAAAAAAGAAAAAAAATTAAAATAGCATCATTTTGCCAACACAGTGGTAATTATTAGTTTAATTGGTAATCAGTGGGTTTTAAATTACTAGATTCTAAATGTTTGATAAAAAATAACACATTTACCCTCTGCTAGTTACAAGGGTGGGGAATTAGTTCAGAGTAGAGTTGAGCTAAACATCTTCTAATTGACTACACTAGTTCCTCCCCTGGAGGAGGAGGTCTGTTCTCATGGACCCATTCCTTGGATGTACTGAGACTCAGTACAGTGTCATACATGTAGTCTCTGTGACAAACAAGCATGATTAGAATCTCAGAGTGAGAAAAGCCAGTGAGGCCTAAATGGATGTTCAGCAAAAGAAGTAGCTGCACTTCTCCAGTCAGTGTCATAGGGTAAACATGTAAGTAGACGAAGGGTCGTTTGATTTTGAAGCCTGAACACATGAAGATAAATTGTTTAGGAGTAGAGCAGAAAGTCAAAGACAGCTGGAGAGCGGATAAGTGTCTGGTAATCCCATAGTAGTGTTAGGTCTGTGTTAATCATTTGTTTTCTAAAATAGGGAAGTACACACTAGAATATCTTAAATCCTGAGTAACACCTGCTATATTAAGTTATTTAGACAAAGCACATTCCAGCCATCCCAGACCTTCTATATTTCTGTTTCCCAGCCATTTGTGCTGTTTCCAGGCCTTCTCTTCTGATTGCTTCTCCTCCTCCACATCCCCACATTCCCTTCTATATTCCTCCTCCACCGTCTCCCCTTTCTACCTGCAAAATGAATCCCTTCTTTTGCAAACACTGCATCACTGTGATAATCGAGTTCTGCCTAATAACTGTTTTTATCTCACACCCTGGCTCTTTGATAAAGGAGAGTATTTCAAATCTGATAAAGTCTTGAATTTGAAATATCTAGGTCAAAAGGCCATGAGACAAACAATATTTAGTGAATGTGTTTTGTTAATGTCTTTTGGTCAAATTCCAGCTAGAACATAAGCTGTTGCCTGAAAGGTTTTGCCTAAGACATTGACATTGAGGATTTTACATGTTACACAGGTACTGTTCATTTTATTGGGGAAATAAACCTTGCTGTTTTCCATAAATTAGAAATTTCCTGGGAATTTCTATTAGTTCTATACAGAAATACTTACACACCTACTATGTAAGTACAATTTAGTGATATATTGTTTATGATTTAATAAAGCTTGCCTGAGATTCAGAAAGCAAAGTCAGCCACAAGCTATAGAGGTCAGGCAGTGATGGCACACAACTTTAATCCCAGGACTCAAATGACAAAGGCAGACGGATCTCTCTGAGTTCAAGGCCACCCGGGGCTACACAAGATTGACTCAGTCTAAAAGAGTTACAGAGCCCACACGTTTAATCCCAGGACTCAGGAGAGACAAGACAGATTCAGTAGGAGGCATTCATTCTCCAGCCACACTGAGGAGAGGTAGCAGTTTGAGGCTTGGTGAAGGGCTCATGGATCAGCCCTTTTAGCCTTAACCAGAGGTGAGAGCTAGTGGCTGGCTGCTTTGCTTTTCTGAACTTCAGCTTGAACCCCAATATCAGTCTGGGTCTTTTCTTTTTTTGTGTGTTACAGTAAAATAACCCTTGTCCAGGTTACTCAGCACCTGGGTACCTGCTGTGTGCCTGGCTCTGTGTCCATGGGCCAAGTGAGCATCTTGAATCACTGTGACTATAGCTGAAGTTAACTTGATTTTATGGTATATATATTTGATTCCAGGAAATTCATGCTGAAGACACCCATACTTTTATTTGCTCCTATTTAATGTAAATTTTCTCTAAAGCACTTACAGATCACCATTATTTAGAGAAGACACCACTGTGTGCCATTTTGAAGGAAAAAGCCCCTCAACAATATCGAATCCTAGCAAAACTGAGGTCATATGAGCCCAAACGACTTTTCCAGTCTGTTAAACTACTTTGTCCTAAATGTCATTCATTGTAAGTATTTTCCAATTAAAAAAAAGTTTTCATGTCATATTGTGTGTATATACGCATGTCCATATGTGTGTGTGTGGTTTTTAAGTCCTAAGAAATGAGTAAATTATTTAATTTAGAGTATTTTAAAAGAATGCTAATGATTTAAAGGGAAAGTCCTAAATTCCTACAAAGAAAATCCTTTTAAGACATTCTTGGAAATAATAAATAAAAATATATGTTTTCAGATGTTTGGTAGTTTTGATACACCAAACAATTGCATTAAAATTTCCTGTCACACTCAATAACTTAGTAAGTGCAATGCCTTTATTTCAAACACCAATTTCTATGTGAATATATAAACACATAGGCATATAGGGCATTTTTTATTCTTATCAATACATATTCATTTCAACATGTGTTGATAGTTTTAAGTCTTGTTTTTCAATGAAGTGTCTCATAGTCCCTCAAAATACAGAATGGCATCTTGGAAAATACAGGCAGTGCACAAACATGCACATTGGAATAGTGTATGTCTTAGGGTTTTTATTGCTGTGAAGAAGGAAAACATTTAGTTGGGGTGGCTCACTTACAGTTTCAGAGGTTTTGTCATTGTCATTATGACCGGAAGGATGGTGGCATGCAGGCAGAAGTGTTGGATCTGAGAGTGGCAGCAGAAAGTCAACTGAAAGTCACAGTGAGGGACACATGAGCAGAAGAGACCTCAAAGCCCACCCCCACAGTGACATTTCCTCCAAAAAGGCCACACCTCCTAATAGTGCCACTCTATTTGGGGGCCGTTTTTTTCTGGACTGCCATGGTGTACATCAAGCTTTCCCTGTCATATGTAAATGTGTTTGCATATTATCTGTTAATATCTCTTTAGAGTAATGTGGGTACTTTTTTTGTCTTGCAAAATTTGAGACTATGGTGTTTCAGGAGAAAGTCAGTCATTAACTCTGTTTAGTAAAAATTGAGGTGTCTCTTTGCTACCCATGTGATCATAAACTCTCAGTTGTGATTAAACTATATATGAAGATTTTAAGTAATTTGTGAAACATTACCAAATTATATTTCTTTTAGTTCCATAGGATTATACGGCTTTTTAAGAATAAGGTTATGCTATGATGTTCTTCTAGACAATAAAGCATCTTAGAAAGTGTAAGAGATAACCTAAAGGTACATGCCCCACTGGTGACAGAATGTGAATAAGTACTTCAGACTTTTAATTCCAAACCATGCCATTTTTAATGCATGGTAGTTTATGAGACTGATAGGAATTACCAATCATTAAAGACAAATGGAGCTAAATAACACTTTAAAGTAGGTGCCATGTGACAGTGAGATTAACTGGGGCTAAAGACATGGCCACTTGTACATGACAACAGAGTGGGACTGGGAGTAACTGTAAGTCACCTTGGGCTCTACAGTGAGCATGGGCCAAAGAGTTGGGTCAGCACGTGAAGATGCCTACTGCCAAGCCTGATGACCTGTGTAAAGTCCCTGTTACCAACATGGTAGGAGATTGTGCTCTGACCTCTGGCATGTGTGTACTCACACAAATACAACTTCTCTGTGATTATGGTATGGATTTACTTAACCATTTCAGTGGTAAACACCTCTTGAATGAAATCTGTTAAATCTGAAATGAAATTAGTTAAATCTTAAATCCTTAACTTAAGCAAGCTTAGCTAGTTTAATTTACATATAAAATAGTATTTAAAGTTTGTTTTAGATTATTTTATTTGGCTGGCATGCGTGCGTGTGTGCGGTGCGTGCGTGCGTGCGTGTGTGTACCACATGTTTATCTCTTGCCCTCAAAGTTCAGAAATTAGTTACAAATGTTTGCAAGTCACTGTGTGGGTGCTGGCAAATGAATCTTGGTTCTTCACAGGAGTAGCAAATGCTCTTAACCTCTGAGTCATCTCTTCAGTTCTTAAAATAGTTTTATTTTTAAGTAATTTATTAAATTGGAATTTTGGAGAATATACCGACATTGTTTGCTGATAACTTGTCATTGATCATTTTAGGCAAGAAGTTCCATATGAGGAAAATGTGGATAAAATTTTGCAAGATGCTGCAACTAAAGCCCCAGATAGCAAGCTGCAGGATACATCATTGTATGAGTCAGAAGTCTGGACCACTGAAGGTCAAGGAGGGCGACAGGTCGCTGTCCATTTTGTGAAAAGTGATGGCGTCCTCCCTCTCTCAAATGAATGTCTAATTCTGATTGAAGGTAAGATGCTTGTTACTGAGTTTTTAAACTATTCTTTTGTACATTTTCCACTATTACTGTTAACTGTGTCTTTTTTATGTGCATTGGTGTTTTGCCATGGGTGTTGGATTCCCTAGAACTGGAGTCACAGATAGTTGTGAGCTGCCATGTAGGTGCTGGGAATTGAACTTGGGTCCTCCTGAAGAGCAATCAGTACTCTTAACCACTGAACCATCTCTCCAGCCCTATTGACTATATCTTATGCTCACCTGATACCTATGAAGTAAAAGTATTGTTAATTTACATTTCTCAAACAGTATATCAAATTCAAATATATGTGAGCACACACATCTACCAGAGTTGTCATAGTATGCATTAAATTCTAATTTATCTACTTGTTGGACTCCTGTCTGTAATCTTATCACCTGAGTGGCACTAATAAATTGGCCAATTGCGCATGTGAAGCTGTCGTCTTGGCCTCTGGATGTCGCTGCTGGGTCATATAATACTGGGATGAAAATCCTCAACCTAAGCAGAAAGGAGCCTTGAAAAGCCTTGATACTTTGTCAACTCTACTAGATTGGAATTGTGCTATTTATTTCCTGTGCTTTATCCATCTAATTCTTCTGTGACAGTTGATATTTTTTTCTTTGTCATTTAGAGTTTAATTTTTTTCCTAATTTGCAACTCCCTTTTCTGTGACACTTGCTGTGTCACACATGTTACTTGCACCCTGCATCTTGCTCTGATTCTCTATGTACTACTGAGTTTCTTTATTGTTTTAACAGGAGGACGGCTCTGTGAAATCTCTAAACTGTCAAGCATCTTTCACAGTGTGATCCCTGTGAAGTCAGGCCCCGAGGACCTGGAGCTCCTAGACATTGCAGCACCATTCCTCATCCGAGGAAAGGTGTGTCACTATGGGTGTGTGTTCATCTTGGGCATCTGGGAATTACAACTACATCTCTATTGCCTATCTTTCAGCCACTGTATGTCCAGTTGATACTATTATTCCAGTTCTTACTTAGAGACAGTCCCCAAGCTAAATGATTGTGCCACGGTGGTACAGATTGGTACAGGTTCAGCAAACTGTCCTTTGCAGTTTGTGACTCAATCTTTTTGAGTGTGGTGGTGAAACACTGCATGCTAGGGAGCAATAAAAAACTAGAGTTCCCTGGTAGTGACTGATTGTCAGGGTCAGCAATAACATGCTGAATGCTATATTCATGAAGTTAGATGTATTGGCACAACCAACCCTGTTGTCAGTTCTAGAGTACCCATGTTCAGTTTTTCTTATACATTTCTAGGGATCTAAACACTCCATGTGGGACACATAGGCTTGTAACATTTTGTTTCTTAGTCACAAACTAAACTTGCTTCTCCCACAAGAGTTTAGATACTAGCTAAAGGGACATTTCAGAGTTGCACATTGAGTGAGTTGCAGAACTGCATGCAGCACTTTGCAGAGTTGCTGCAACTGAAAAAAGGCAGAGAGGAGTAGGGAGCCTGCGGGTTCAAGCTTGGAAGGAGAGTGAAGTAAAGCCCCCTATAGTTTTGATGAAACAGTCACCCTGAAAACGCTCTGCCTTGCGAATCCTTGTACTGCAGCCTTGATAGATCGTGTTACCCCATTTCTCACCCACCCCCCCTTCCTTCTAAAAGTATATATAGTGTTTGTTAGTTGTTACAGTGAGCTTAAATTTTGATTTTTACTAGAAAATTACTTCCTGCCATTATCATAGCCACCCGGTTGTGACCCTTAGAGTGACCAATGGGCTTTGCCCTTGGTTTTGATTCATGTACAACAGGTGAAAAACTTAAGCCTTAAAATAAAAGTGAATGTTTGTAGCTAATTCCTCAGAAGCACCCGGTGTAAATGTCTGTAAATGTCCTGCAAGGTTTGCATACCACTTTGTTGAAATATCAAAACCCACCCACCGTGCTCTGTTGTTCTCCTTTGAATAAGTCCATAAACTAGGCTTTGCTTCTGACATGATCATCTCTCATTCTTTTCTTCTCACTTTCCTAGTACAGAGTAGCTAAGTCTCAATCAGAAGACCCAAGTTATATGCCTGCCTGCCTGCTCTGTCACTGCTAATGTTAGTGAATGAATGAATTTGATTATATTTAAATGCTTCCCAGTTTTTTTCTTACTCATTTCAGATGTAAACAGTGCTCAAACTTGAAACCCATACAAAACTTAAGTACCATTCCTAATAAAAGACTGTGGATTCCTTCCTCTGTGGCAGCAGGTGAGCTGGATGTTTGTGTCCTAAAATTTTAATGCTGTCATCTCACTGACTTATATTTCAATATTTGTGAATACTTATGGCAAAACTAGATTAACTTTCCTTAAGTGAAACCTATTTGCAACAATTGTAGTGAAAAATAAGGGCTAAATATTTAAAATACTTGCAATCATTTAAAGCATTGTAAACATAACCATATTTTAGTATTTGACCACTTGTTTAGTCATTGGTCACAAATACAGATCCTGAGGAAATCTTTCTGACTCAGACTTAGTGTTGGACAAGGTATTGAGGTGGCTGTTACCATCCTATGAATCTAGGCAACACACAGGAGTCTGTTTATTCCACACATGACTGGTCACCCAGGCTTTGCTTTTAGCATTCAGGAGTGTGTACATTATTAAAGCACAACTTTTAGACAGTCCTTAATAGTGAAGTCAGATCTGCCTACTAATACAGATCATGTTCTGTCTACTAGAATTCTTTATTACAGGTTCATGTCCATTTACTCTTCTGTAAGGACAGTGCTCTTTGTAGGTCTCACATTGTCTTTTATGCCTCTATTGAGTATATTTTCAACTTGGCACTCTCCCCTCCTTTGTTACTTTTCCATTCTTCTGACTCCTCCTTTGTCTCCTTAATAAATGTCCATTTTGCTAGTGTTCTTTTTCTCCGAGTTTGCCCTTCACTGCCATTGAGAGCTGTAGCTTTAGTTTGGGCAACTCAAAATATAGTGAGAATTATTATTTTTATGAAACTGTACACTCAGATTCCTTCCCCTAGACTGAAATTCTGTTTTAAAACTTGTGTATGTGTGTGTGTGTTTCTTGTTATATTTTTTTGTTTTGTAATACAACTGTCTCATACACTGGCCCAGTGAGGTCCAGTGTTACTGTGCATGAGCTTCGCCTGTGAAGCTGGCCAGTGCCGCTTCGCCTCCTCCATATTTTGAATATCATCCTCCTTAGGGCTGTTTCAGTGTAATTGTTGAGACCTTCTGAGGCCAGAAACTTGGTTCCTGTCTTATTGCTATTACATGCTCAAATTTGTTTCTCTGTCCAATTTACACTCTGTCTTCTTAATCTTCCTATCAGAATACGGTCTATAAGAATGCAAGATAATAAAACATTCCATAAATCTGTTTAGTGACTTCACCTCCTGAAAAAAAAGGTCCTTGCCTTAACTGCAAATTCTCATGTTTAGTATCTCCAATTTATTCATTCTGCTTCATTCTAGCAATTATGGAACCCAAGATTCCGGTTTGTATGTTCTTTCCACCAGATGACATCTCTGAAAAGAAAAAGAAAAAGAAAAAAGAATTGATACTTTACTCAATATGCAAAGGGGGATAAGCTTTTAATAATATTGAACTGCGTGCTGCTTTCTAGAACATTCTGTGGTTTTAATTTCATTTTGCATATAATTAACATGTAATGAGTTGCATTTAATTATTCGCTTATTATGGTTCTACAAAGTATATGTTCCTAAGGGGTTCTGTTGAGTGGGTTTAACAAATTGACCCTAGAGAAGAAAGCATTCTTGCTGTTGTAACTACTCTCAGTAAACATCATCTGCACCTTGCACTAGAATAAAGCACTTTGGAGTCTACCTTACGGAAAATCTAGCAGCCTGGACTAATGTGCTCTTTCCTCTCTCTAGTTCTAGGCATTGTTCCTCTGCAGTATGTGTTTGTTATGACTTTCACTTTTGATGATGGAACAGGAGTATTAGATGCTTACCTCAAGGATTCTGTGAGTGTCAGACATGCTACAAATATTCAACCAAAATTTATATTTCAATTTTTAATGTTCACCCTACTTGAGTTTTACTTCACTGTAATTTATTGAGACCTTTTGAACCCTAAAACTCACTTTCTCTGTATTTTGCTCTTAAAAGGATCTAAAATAACTTGGAATATATGAATGAAATGTAGCCACATAAGTCAAAAACTGTGTGGTGTATAGCTTTTGATTTTTTCAATTAGGAATAAAACTTTTAAAAATATCAAGTTGAAGAATCAAAATCTGAGGAGCCATTCTCCCTGTCATTCAGAAATTTCCCTGCTGGGTGAAAGAGCAGACATAGAGCCACATTGTTGTCCCCTCACTGTACTTGAAGGAAGTGCAGTTACTTGATGAACAGATAGTGGATTATTGCATAAGATGCAGAGGAGACTGAAGAATGGTGTCAGTCCTGACACTAGTAGTTGGAAGTTGAGAAGTCCTTGAGGCCTCCCTTAGCTTTGATATTCCCAAACACACACACACACACACACACACACACACACACACACACACACCCCGTCTCTAAATCTGAGACTGTTTGTTTTCCTGCACCGAGTGTAACAGTATACATGGGGCACTGGAAGCAAGGGAAGAGGCCAGTGATTTTTGGCCTGCTTAATACTGATGTTTTTGGTGACCTCAACCATAAAATTTTGTTTCTACTTCATAACTATAATTTTGCTGCTGTTATAAATTGTAATATAAATACCTGATATGCAGTATGTCTGATAGACGACCCCTGTGAAAGGGTTATTCACCACCATCCCCAAGGGTTTCAACCCACAGATTGAGAACCACTGACCTAGGCCCTAATGTGACTTGGTCGAGTATGTTGCCATGACTGACTGCCCATGTGGTTGTTTGCTCTCTTCCTGAGGTCTGGCTAATGCTACGTAGCCCAAATATCTCAACTTCAGATGGCATTGTTAGGTTTTCTAGAGTGACCCATAACTCCAGTAGACAGTCAGTTTACCCGTTTACCGGCTCTCACACGTCATGATATACTAAAAGCTAAGAGGAAGACCAATCTTTTGTTAGGGTAAGACAGTTTTTTGTTTGTTTGGTTTTGTTTTTGGCTATTTGTTGTGGGTTTATTTATTTGTTTGTTTGTTTTAGCTTAACATAAAATAGAAAACAATCTAAGTGATTTTTTTTCCTCCAGGCTGCACAGTTCATGCAGTCACTTATTAATCGGATGTTTACTGAGCAGCTGATTTATGCTGTGTATGTGTTCAAATAAAACATTTAGCAAGGCAAGAAAAGTCTCTAAAACATAATGTAGAAGGGGAAAAATTAAATAATTTTTTGTTAATGTTATATCCTTTCATACTCAACATTGGATTTATTTTCCTGAGTACACAGTGTCATCAGCCTTGGTACGTGATCTTACCATGCATCAATGTGCATCATATATATATATACTCATTTTAGCAAATTAGTTACTGAAATTCTGTGCATTAAAGCTTTGCAGATGATGAACATCTCCTTTGTTTACCATTATTTTTAGGAGAAATTTTTCCAGATCCCAGCATCAGAAGTCCTCACTGATGACGACCTTCAGAGGAATCTGGAAAAAATCATGAATGTGATTTGTCCTCCAGGAATAAAAATTGGTAGGCAGTATTTCAAAGGTGCTTCTTTCTCTTTCTTGAGAAAGCACCTAGTGTGGATCTAATCCATAGACTATGGGTGGAAGGAGGCAAACTGTACTAAGTGTGAGCAATAACTTCATCCATGTAGTGATGGAACAGCTGCAGAAGCAAAATAAATATAAATAAGGGAGTTTTAAAATATTTTCTAGTGCATTTGAAACATAGCACTTTTGGTAACAGCATATTTGATTCTGAGTTTGCACGTTCCAGCAAATGAATGCAGTTTGCAAACAAACATTTCTTCAAATAAACTGCATTTGTCTTATTTGACTCAGTGAGTTTCCTCTGTGGTATTAGTGATCTTCAGAATTTTCCATTTTTATTTTGCAAAGTCTGTGAACTTTGATTCTGCATAGACACCAGCTTGTCGGCTGGCTCCTGCACAGGTAAAACTTGTGCCCATTGTAGCTGCTGCCACCAGGTCCTTCTGTGGTCAGTAATTCTTCTCTGTTGGAACCTGTAGACCTAAACTGTGTTAAGATGTTTGATTCATCTAGTAATTGTTCTCGTTGACAAATCTTCCCTCTGTCTGCTTTTCTGTTGCTGATGTGACTGTTAGACTTTGATCCTCATTAGGGTTTCTTCCTCCACAGTCAGTCTGTGCATTGTAACATCAATTTCCAAGAGATGGGAAATTTTGCTTACCCAAAGCAAAGTTTTACTCAGATACATTTATTTGTTTTCAATTTCAATTTGTGTTAGCTATTGCACTTACCATGCTTACATTTCTAGAAATAAGTCTCTGGGCATGGTAACTTTTGACATATACAGGCAAATTTATTTATGTATATATATTTTACTTTGTAAGTTATACCAACCATGCATAGGAGCTCCTCACATTACCTTGGTGAGCTCGAGTGCCATACCAGATACCTGGTAGACCTACCAGAGCCTTCTGATGACGTTAGAAGTGAGCCTTCCTTGCTCCCCATCAAACATTATAATGGCATCATTGCTGCCATTGTGGCGGGGCCCAAAGCTGATCCCATCTGGGCATCTCACATGAAGACTCAATCGAATGTGATATTAAGTTCAGGTGCTACCTCTTTCTAGTCAATCAAGGAAAAGCCAGGGGAGGCCCATAAGTAGTCAGCATAAGAAGAGTAAAACATGGGTGAGATGATTGACTGCTTCTGGTGGCAAGTATTTTGTAAACTTTTAAATCACTTTCATCTGAGGTTGGGAAGAAACTAATTAGCATTACTGGTTATATGCTTGGTATAATGGCTGAATGACACTTCCTCTTGGTCTGTAGATGCATACCCTTGGCTGGAATGCCTCATCAAGTCCTACAATGTCACAGTTGGAACGGAGCAGCGAATATGTTACCAGATATTTGACACCATGGTTGCAGAAGACATCATCTAGTCCTGATGTTCAGTTCAGTGTGTGTGGGATTTTGAAATCACTGTGTGTGATTTTCAGAACACACTTTAATATTCTTAAAGTACCATCCCATTTTCACTGTAGTTTAATTTATTTTGTATAGAAAGGCATTTCTTGTGAATGTATTAAAATATCTTTTTGCTCAGCAAACCCAGGGTGACCACAAAAGTTAAAAAATAAGGCCACACTTTGTGTGGAGGGACCAAATTTTTATTTCTTCTTTCAGTTTCTTTAAAGGAGCTGTACTGTTATTAGACACTGAAGATCCATTTCCCATCATGAAACACTTGTTTCTTTCTATTCTGTCCACCCACCATCCCCTAGCTGTGTTTCTTTTCCTGTCGTGAGTTTTATACCAGCAGTTGATATTAATGTGCACGTAGATAAGAACACGTTCTCTACTTGAGGCTCCTGGCTTTCATTGATAAGACAGTGGTGGCTACTTTTCTTTCATCCTATTCCATTTTACTTTATATATGTACAGAGGAATTTCTTAGCCAGTCTTGGGAAAGGAAGTCTTCCTGTGCTTTTATACACAAATACCTGCTTAACTGAGTTTGACTTAAACAAATGTGATGGCAGATATCCTTCTGTTAACTATGAATATGTTTTATTACCATTGGTTAATTAAAGAAGCTGATTTGGCCAATAGACAGGCAGAATGTAGCTAGGTAGGAAATCCAAACAGAGATGGAGAAAGAAAGAAAGAAAGAAAGAAAGAAAGAAAGAAAGAAAGAAAGAAAGAAGGCAAAGTCAGGGAGACACCATGTATCTGTGTAAGGGGTAAGATGCCAGAACATTACCAGTAAGCCATAGCAACATGGTGATACACAGATTAGTAAAACTAGGTTAATTTATAAGAGAGAGCTACTCAGTAATAAACCTGAGCTATTGGCCAAACAGTTATATTTAATATGAGTATCTGAGTGACTTTGCATAAGCAGCTTTAGGGACCAGCAGGACAGAGAAAAACATTCAACTGTACAAATGTAGTAAAGAGGGTATTTAAGGAGGAGGCAAAATTGTTTTAATTGGTACTGATGTTGCCCATTTTATGATGAGTCTATCACTTTGAATGAGATGGTGTATTTGATTTCCACTTCTCTGTGTAAATGGAGTTCTTCTATCCCATACAAGCTAATGAAGTGATGAAGTTTAGGATTTTTCTACTTCAGCTGTATCATCTTTTTCAGTAGCCTTATGATGTAAACATTTTCCTACATTGCAATAGAATGCTTTTGAACTCAACCGTATTTATCCAGTTTAAAATCATGAGTAGTCAATCACTTATGCACAAACATGTACATATGTGTATATATGCATTTATGTGTTTGCTAAAAAACTGAGGGATAACAGATCTGTGCAGTGTAAAATAATAAATAAATAAAATGCTCACATTTCTACAGTTTCATTTTAAGTGTTTGTTGGTGAAGCAACATGATGAGGTGGGTACTGTAGTTCAAATCTTGAGTCTTCCCAGATGGCCATAAATTGAAGGCATGGTGACTGGCCCATGGAGTTGTTCCAGGGCCTAGGGAAGGAACACCTTGACCTGTAGGGCCTAGGGAAGGAAGTTTGTTTTGGGATGGCATGCTCTGGGAAGGGGTTTTCAGGGCCTGACTGCCTCTTGTCTCACTCTGCTTTCCTCCTGCCATGAGGCAAATAGACCTCCTTCGCTTTTATTACCAAAATGTCCTGTGTAGGCACAGGCCCATAACAGGGCCTAGTGACCATGGTCTGGAAATTCTGAGACCATGAGCCAAACATCTCCTCTTTATAAATGTTTTATCACAGTAACAAGAGTCGAACTCAGGAAGAATGCTTATAGGCCAGATACTTGGAGCTGTCTGCATGCCAGGTGCTACATTCAAATCTTCACATGTGTTTAAACCTCAGAACAACCAAATCATCTAAGAAAGCTGAATCCTGTTGGAATACCAACTTTAATGCTTCCTATGTTTCTATGTGCTGGAGTCATGTGTTCAGTACCCACAATCTATATTAGTAACCAGCCCAGCCAGCACTCTTAAGGGTGATGTGAGCCTTACTTTAAATAGCTGTAGGAAGTAGCAAAAAAACCAATGTGTTTTCCTGCATATTATCTTTTATCTAGAAATTTTCATCTCTTGAACAATTGGATGGTAGTTCATCATGCCAAGGCTAAGTACCTGTCCATTGTGTGGTAACATCTTCCTGTCTGACTAAACATATATAATTAAGGAAGTATTTTGTTTATAGCCTCTGACTCAGTTTCCAGTTTATGTAACATTGTGTAGACGCCATTGGGTTGTCTTGATTCTGTTACATTGTTATATCTATAAGACAAAAAAGAAAAAAAAAACTTTAAAAAATGTACCTTAAAAGTTGGAGATGTGGGCCAACCGATCCACAACGAGGTGAGTGAGCCTCTGCTCTTATCCAACCCTCGTCCAAACCATCATTCACCCCGACCTCCCCGGCCTGTGCCTGTTTGGGGTAGACACGCCCAGGCAGGGAGGAGCTCCCTGAATCTGGTAACACCCCACTCTTCCATCCCTATCCGCCGACTGATCCACAACGACAGTGAGGAGACTACCAGGAGAGGCAAGACTATCCAGAGCTGTGGACATTGAATTCTTGGCCCTCACACACCACTGGGTCACAAGAGGAGATAGAGAGACCTCCCACCTGCACCCACTGGAAGAAGATATGGGAAGAAGACAGAATAAGATCTCACTCAAAAACAGAAAGATCAATATGACACCACCAGAATCTAGGGACTCCACTCCAGCAAGATCTGAAAAGCCCAACACAGAGCATGAAGAAGACATGGACCTCAAAAATTATCTCGGCAAGATGAGAGAGACCTTTAAAGAGGAAACAAGAAAATCCCTTAAAGAAATAGGAGAAAAAGCAAGCAAAAAATTACACGAAATGGAGGAAAAGACAAACCAAAAAATTCAAGAAATAAACAAATCTCTTAAAGAATCTAAAGAAACCCAAGAAAAAAAAACAACCAAACAAGTGAAGGAAGCTCTTGAAACAGTTCAAAGCATGAAAGTTGAAATAGACACAATAAAGAAACCACAGAAAGAGGCGATGCTGGAAATGGAAAGGATGGATAAACGATCAGGAACTAAAGATGTGAGTATAACTAATATAATTCAAGAGATGGAAGAGAGAATCTCAACTATTGAAGACTCGCTAGAGGATATACATTCATCAGCCAAAGAAAACCTCAAGTCCAACAAATCCCTAACACAAAATATCCAGGAAATATGGGACACCGTGAAAAGACAGAACATAAGAAAAATAGGTGTAGAAGAAGGTGAAGAAACACTGCTCAAAGGTACAGAAAACATTCAACAAAATCATAGAAGAAAACTTCCCCAACCTACAGAAGGATATGCCTGTGAAAGTACAAGAAGCTTACAGGATACCAAACAGACTGGACCACAAAAAGAAGTCCCCC